ATGACACAGCCTGACGGTTTTCAAATTGCTGGTCAGTCTGCCAAAGTTTGTAAGCTGCAACGTTCAATCTACGGATTGAAACAAGCATCTCGGAGTTGGTACATACGTTTCGACGAAACCATTTCCAGTTTTGGTTTCAAGAAGAACTCTGACGAATCTTGTGTATACAAGAAGGTCAGTGGGAGTGTAATAGTATTCCTAATCTTATATGTCGATGACATATTGTTAATGGGTAACGATATTCCCGCTCTCACTTCTGTAAAGACGTGGTTGAGCGAGAACTTCTCCATGAAAGACTTAGGGGATGCTAGTTATGTCCTTGGCATAAGAATCTACCGAGATAGATCAAGAAAGTTAATAGGTCTGAATCAAAGTACATATATAGATAAAATCCTTGATCGATTTAGCATGTCTAACTCAAAGAAAGGATCTTTACCTATGACACCTGGCACGGTTCTTTCCAAGAGCCAGAGTCCTTCTACTCCCGAGCAAAAGGAACTCATGATGAAGGTTCCAAACGCCTCTGCGATTGGATCCATCATGTACGCCATGATATGTACTAGACCTGATGTCTCATTCGCTTTAAGCGTGACCAGCAGATACCAGGGAAGTCCAGGAGAAGCACACTGGACAGCGGTCAAGAACATCCTCAAGTATCTTCGCAATACTAAGGATGCATTCCTGGTATACGGTGGTGAAGAAGAGCTAAAGGTGGTCGGTTACATTGATGCTAGCTTCCAAACCGACAGAGACGATTAAAAATCACAAGCAGGATATTTGTTTTGCCTGAATGGCGGAGCTTTTAGTTGGAAGAGCTTTAAGGAGGATACAACCGCCGATTCGACTACAGAGGCTGAGTACAAAGCTGCCGCCGAGGCAGCTAAAGTTGTTTGGATCAAGAAGTTCATTACTGAACTTGGAGTGGTTCCTAGTATTAATGACCCTATCTCGTTGTTTTGCGACAACACTGGGGCCATTGCAAAGGCAAAGGAACCGCGATCACACCAGAAAACCAAACACATTGTACGACGCTATCACATCATACGAGAAATCGTAGATAGAGGAGATGTGATGATTTGCAAAGTAGATACTGACGACAACATACCCGATCTCTTGACCAAGCCTTTAGGAAAGCTAAAGCATGAGGGTCACACCAGGTCCATGGGTATTCGACCGATGCCAGATTGGCCATAGTGCAAGTGGGAGATTGTTGGTGTTGTGCCCTGATGGCCAACTGTTTATCATTATTCTATGATGTATAGGCAGATATAATATGTTTACACATCTCATGCTAATGTAAACAAATATTATATTCCTAGATTTATATTTAAAGATGTTTATCAGATAGTGTTATTCTGCTGATGAGACTAACATCTTGAAATAAATATTTATCTAAATGTCTATAGTCGAGTATTAACGAGAGTGGGATATCGTTAATGCATGTGAGACTAGTGTGTGTTGGATGTTTGACTTAGTCTCATGGTCAATGACGGTGTGTTCGCATCCGCACATGGGCAGATATTATCTGGAGATAATAGGATGCCGGACTGACCCATTCTAAAGATGTTGCTTGAATTTTTAGTTGATGCTCTAAGCATCTTTAGCGCGACCACGGGTGTAACTATCCTTCGACTTGAAGTATTACGTTTTCTGCATATGTGAACCCGCATACTTTGATGCATTGTCCTAAGCCATATGAAATAAGGATGGTATACAGGCTTTGTTTTGGGTATGCCGCAGCGCGTATTCAGAAACGTAGATTACGTACATAGGATTTGTCACTACTCTTTTTAAAGA